ACTCCACAGGAAAGGAATTGCTGTGTCATATGTTACTTGTTTATAAATGTTTGAGCAACTTTCATCTTGTTTTCTATAGTGGCTGCACCAATTTATTTATAATCTCACCGACAGTACATGAGGGTTCTCCTTTCTCCACATCATTGGCAATAGTCATTGTCGATTTATTGATAATTGCCATCCTGACAGGTGTGTCGTGGTATTTCATTGTGGTCTCAATTTGCTTTTCTCTGATGATGAAAGATGCTGAACATCTTTTCATATGTCTGTGGGTCATCTTTATGCCCTGTTTAGAGAAATATCTATTCAGGTCCTCTGCACATTTTTCAATCAGATTGTTTGATTTTTGTGTTATGTACGTTCTTTATTATTTTGCATATTTATCATCAATGGTGGATATCTTCTCCTTCAGTAGATTGGTTTCTTTGTTTTCTTGATGGTTTCCTTTGCTGTGCAAAAACATTTTGTTGTAGTCTCAATTGTTTATTTTTTTCTCTTGTTATGCCTACAAGTTATATCTAAGACTGTAAGAGCAATGGCAGTTTATCAGCTCTCCTTTCTTCCAGTGTTTTCATGTCTTATATTTTAGTTTTTAATCCATTTTGAGTTTTGTTACATGGCATAAGGAAGTGGTTTTGTAATTTCTTTTGTATTAGTTCAGTTTCTCTTGTACCATTTATGAAAGAATCTCTCTCATCCCATTGTATATTCCTGCATTTTTTTTTCTTATAGATTAGATAACAATATATCTTTGGCCATTTTAAAAATTGTGTTACTTGGTTTTTGGGTTTTAAAAAATATATATTTATTTATTTTTAGAGAGAGAGGAAGGGAGGGAGAAAGAGAGGGAGAGAAACATAATTGTGTGGTTGGCTCTAGTGCGCCCCTGTACTGGGGGGCCTAGACTGCAACTCAGGCATTTGCCCTGACTGGGAATCAAACCAGAGACCCTTTGGTTTGCAGGCCAGCACTCAATCCACTGAGCTACACCAGCCAAGGCAAATTGTGTTACTTGTTTTATCATGTTGTTTTGTGAAAGTTCTTTATATAACCTGGATATTAACTACTTATATTGTATATTCTTTGCAGAAATTTTTGTTCTTTCTACAAGTTGTGTTTTTAACCTACTAAGTATTTGCTGTAATGTCCAGGAATTTTTCTATTTGGTGCAATCCCATGTGACTATATTTCCTTCTTTACCTGTTCTCTGGATATTATAACCAAAAAAAACCTAAATGTCATATAATCTTTTCTTTTAGTGAATTAACAGTTATTAGCTTTGGTTTCAGGTAAAGATGGCTTTATAGGCAGACATGGTTTGCCTCTTTGCCTAACCACATCAAAACTACAACTAAAATATAGAACAACCATCACTCAGAACCATCAGAAATCAAGTTGAATGGGAAACCTGACAACTACAGAATTAAATAAACCACATCCATCCAGACTGGAAAGAGGGTCGCAGACATGGAATGGGCTGGTCCCTCACCTACATGTGGTAAATAAAAATTCAGGAGGGTTATCTACAGAGTGAGGAGTCCCAGCCCCACACCAGGTCCCCCAACAGAGATATCCAATGCCAGGAAGATAAGTCCCCACAACTTCTGGCTGCAAAAACCAGCAGGAATTGAGTTGGTGGAAGAGACATCTGGAGTCTCAGGTAGTACCTCCTAAGGAACCCACACATATACTCAGCTACTCAGACTCACTCCCTCTTAGCTCCAGCAACTGGGTGGCAGCTTGAAGGGCACCAGAAGCAGGCAGAGCAAGACTGCAGTGCCTGGCATGAAGGTGAGCAGAGGCCATTGTCCCTCTTCTAAACCATCCCCGCACAGATCTCCAGAGCCAGCAAGCTGGTGCCATATCTGAGACTCTATCAACCTGGCTAACGCTGTTTGACATGCCTTGGAGATCCCCAGAGACTCTCCTCCACCTGCCTTGTGGGCCCACCCAAGCTGCTTTTCCATATGAATTGAACTGGCAACTTTTGTTCTGATGGATGATGCCAACTGAGCCACATGAGACAGGGCCAGTATTGTAAAATAAACTATATTTGCCACAGGTGTTACTGGCATTCTTTGAGGTATCACTTTGACTATTTAGATCTCCTTAGGTACTACTGATGGCCTACACTATTAGCATTCCAATACACTATTAGGATTATGGAATAAATTTTTTTTTTAATGCTTAGTTTATTAATCCTCTCATGAAAAATTAAATAATCACCACTGATAAAGTCACTGAAGATTCTTTACTCTTCTTTTTGGCCAGCACCAACATTGGTCTGTACAGTCCCCCAGACATTCTTCATTGCATTCTATCTTCGTTTTCTTGAGGTCTTCTTGTATAAGCCACGTCTTGCAAGTCTATGTTTGGGGTTTTGTGTTTGTGTGTAATCCATGGAATCATAAGTCATGACAAAGCCAGTTGTCTGGCCACCACCAAAATGGGTTCTGAATCCAAACACACACTGACATCTGGTTGGTCTTACACATTTTGGCTAGTTTTCCTTGAATTTCTGTCTTGCGTGCTTTTGCCTGCCCCAGGTAAAGGACATTAATAACCATTTCTTTCTGGTGAAGTAATCTGTTGGTCATGAACTTCCTGGTCAGGCTAGTTACTGTGGCATTTATGATGGTGGCCGATCTGCAAGAAGCAAGGGGAGAAAAACTGAATTTTTTCTGAATTTACTGATTTTTAAAAATACAACCAGCAATATTTTATACTTTTAATCCTAAAAGTGGTGCACCATTTTCATGAAGATAACTCAAATATTTTTTCCTGCTCCATGCCATTGTTAAGGTAATTACATTCTTATCTTGGTTTTTTTGCATTCATTTGTTACTGTACAAAAACAACCAACTTCATGGGTGATTTTATATTCTGCCTTTTGAAAAATGTGTTTGATTTCTGTTGTTTTTTGAAGTGTGGATTCTATATGATTTTACAGTACACAATTTTGTCACTTGTTAAGAGAGATCATTTATTTTTTTATTGCTACCTTGGTGGGGGTACTAAAAACATTTTAAAGCTATAACATACTTTAATCTGATAGCATCAGTTGCTCTCTACTACTTGCCATCTCTGTCCATCTACCAACTTATGTTATTGATAACACATTATATCTTTTGTTTTGTGTCTTATAACATAGATGTAAGAATTTATTGCTTGTATCTGTTAAAGTTCTATAAGAGAGAGCAAAGTGATTTGTGTTACATCATTAAACTACGTACAATTATTTATTGTGTATATATTTACATGTATACATTTTTATATGTTTATATGCTTTAGTGTTTAGAAATTTATTACATTGAGAAGAATTTTTTTACTCATTTTTCATAGGGCATGTTTGAAAATGATAGTCTTCAGTGTTTTTGAGCTGGAAATGTCTTTCTCCATTGTTGATGTTCTGTCTTGTCAGATACAGTATTCTTGGTTAATAGTTTTTGTTCCTTTATTAGTTCAATATTTTATTTCATATTCTTTTTCATATGGTTTCTTCTGATGAAACCAACAATAATTCTTGAGAACCTGTCTTTTCCATGACACATATATATTTTTTTTAATCTTTCAGGGTATTTGTGCAGTATTCAGGCTATTTTATCATAATTTTTTCTGTTCACTATGTTACATTCTTCCTCGAATTTAGTGAGCTGCTTGAATTTGTATGTCTCTTTTCTCCGAATGTCAGAATCTCCAATTACTATCCTGTTTTTATTGGGTCCACTTATGCTGGAAAGTGGTCTATTTGTTAGTGTCCCATGAGTTTCTAAAGCTGTCTTCATTATTCCACATTTTTGTTGGCTTTCCTGTGCTGAAATTTTTAATGGACTCTGCACACATTTTAATATTCACTAGCTTGGTCCCATCTTTTCATGATGATTCCCCTGTAAATCTGAGTATTGTGTTTTCCAGCTTCCCATTTCTGTTTGGTTTATTTTTATGTTTTCTCTTCATTTTGGTCATTCACAGATTGGCTGATGTTAAGTAGTTGTCATAATTTTCTACTTTTCTACTTTAAGGTGGTTATCTTCAGTTCTTCATTAGGTAATTAATATATTTCAATTTGTATAGTGTCAATTTTTGAATATATATTGAGATTTCATGATTGGACTTTGGTTTTCTGTTTCTCTGTCTTGATATATTAGTTGAGGTTCAGAATTGTAAACAACTAGGCTTTAGGAACCGGATTTCTATAAGTTAAAAGAAATAACAGTCACTCCTAGTATAAATTCTAATTTCTGTAAAAAACTGTTCTAGGGAGATATATTTCTGTAAGTTTCAAGTTTAAAACAGTTCTGTTCCTTTTTCAAAGGCTATTTCATATAGTGTAATGTCCGCAAGGTTCATTCATGTTGCAGCATGCGTCTGAGCTCCTTTCCCTTTTAGGCCTATGCAATACTCCATTTTATGCATATACCATATGTTGCTCATGTACTCATCAGTTAATGGATGCTTGGATTGTGTCCATGTATTAACAAAGGTGAATAATGCTGTTATGAACATAGGTGTAGAAATACCTTTTTAAGGCCCTGTTTTCATTTCTCTTTGAGTGTATACCAGAAGTAGAATTACTGAGTCATGTGGTAATTGCATTTATCATTTTTTTGAGGAGCCTCTATACTGTTTTATATACTGTAGCTATACCATTTTACATTTCACCAACAGTGTACAAGGATTGTAATTTCTCCACATCCTTGTCAACACTTGTTTTCACAATAGCTATCCTAACGGGTATGAAGTGGTATTTCATAGCTTCAATTTGCATTTCTCTAATGATCAGTGATGTTGAACATCTTTACCTGTGCTTATTGGCCATTTGTATATCTTCTTTGGAGAAATGTCTGTTCAAGTTCTTTGCCCATTTTTTTGAATTGGATTGGATTTTGTTGTTGAATTTAAGGAGTTCTGTATGTATTCTGGATATTAATCCCTCATCAGATATGGGATTTGGAGATGTTTTCTGCTAGTTTGACTTTTTTCTTTTTTCTTTTTACCCCTAGAGGAAAGCATGAATGCAGTCCTCTACTTCTACAAATTATGAAGTTGAGTTTCCCACATTTGGGGAAATCACAGGGTTCAGCACACCTAGAGTGCAATGGAGGAGCCTCACCCTGGAAAAACCACCCTCTTTATCATGTTCTCTCTCCTGCCAGACAAGCATGTGAGTTGAGTTTTTACTGTTGATAGTCTTTTTTTTTTTTTTCCTCAACTGAGGACATGCTTGCTGATTTTAGAGAGGAAGGGAAGAATAAGGACAGAGAAGTATTGATCTGTTTCCTTATGCGTACCCCTGACAGGGGATCTAACCCGCAATGTAGACATGTGCCCTGGCTGGGAAATGAACCTGCGACCTTATGGTTTACAGGCTATTATTCCAGCTGAGCCACCCCGCCAGGGCGATAGCGTCTCTTGATGTAAAAATATTTTAAGTTTCATAAAGTCTCATTTGTCTATTTTTTTTTCTTTCATTGTGGCCACCCAGTTTTCCAGCACCTTTTGTTGAAAAGACTGTCCTTTCACCAGCTACGGATCATGTAACCCTTGTCAAAGTATTTGATAGTATATGCAAGGATTCATTTCTGAGCTACTTTTCACATTGACCTGTATGTCCATATTTAAGCCAGCACACTGTTTTGATTACTGTAGTTTTGTAGTAGGTTTGGAAAATTATGGAAGCATAAGACCTCCAGTATTGTTCCGTTAAGATTGTTTTGGCTGTTGGGATCCCTTGCAATGCCACTGTAATTTCAATAGGGATTGCAATGGTAATTTTGGGGGAGTATTATCTACTTAACTATATTAAATCTTTCAATTCATGACCACAGGATGCCTTTCTATTTATTCAGTCTTTAATTTCTTTCAGCAATTATTTGTAGGCTTCAGTGTATAAGTCTTTAACTTCCCTGCCTCTATTGCTGGCTCTAAGGGCAGAAGCCTACCTTCCAGCCTCACACTATAGTCTAGCCTAGTCTAGTTGAATCTAGTGTAGTATAGTCTCCCTTGGCAACATGGCTGGCTCTGGAGGAAGAGGGCTCTTGGACAACCTCACACTCTAGTGTAGTCTAGTCTAGTATGTCTTGCCCCCATGGTTGGCTCTGGAGGAAAAGGCCTACCTAGCAGACTCACTTTGTCGTCTAGCCTAGTTTTGTCTAGTGGAGCCTACTCTAGTCTAGTCTAGTCTATGTTGGGTCCATGAACAGTGCTAGGGGAAAAGGCCTACCTACCAACCTCGCACTCTAGTCTTGCCTAGTGTAGTCTAGTCTGGTCTAGTATAGTCTGTCTTGGCTTCATGGGTGGCTCTGAAGGAAGAGGCATACATACCAACTCACCATGTAGTCTGTCTAGTCTAATAAACTCTAAGTTAGTCCTCCTTGGCTACATCTTTGGCTCTGGTGGAAGGGCCTACCTCGTAACCTCACAATTTATTACAGTCCAGTGTAATCTAGGGAGCAAGGTCAGAGAAAGGAGAGGCAGAGGTAGATCAGTGCAAAAAAGCTACCAGAAATGGGAGAGAGAGATCAGATAGGGAAGAGTAATCAGGCAGTTGAGAGAGAGAGAGATCCAGGGAGAAGAGAGATTATAGGGAGGAGAAGCAGATTTTATAAAGAAGAGAGAGAGCCCTGGCTGGTGTGGCTCAGTGGATTGAGCGCTGGCCTGTGAATCAAAAGGTTGCCAGTTCGATTGCCCATCAGGGCACATGCCTGGGTTGCAGGCCAGGTCAATGTTTCTCTCACACATCAATGTTTCATTTCCCTCTCTCTCCCTCCTTCCCCCCTCTCTAAAAATAAATAAAATCTTTTAAAAAAAGAGGGAGGGAGGGAGACAGATCACAGAAGATAGATCAGAGATCAGAAACATGAGGATAGAGATTAGAGAGACAAGGGAGAGAGAAACCTTCGTGAGCAAAGATAAATAGCAGAGAGAGATCTGAAAAAGAAGAGAGCTCAGACAGAAATCAGTGATGAAAGAGGAGAAGGAAAGAAATCAGAGAGATGAGAGAGATGTGAACAAGAAGAGAAAGCAGAGAGACAAGAAATCATACAGGTGAAAGAGATAAGATAGAAAGAAATCAGAGGTGAGAAAGAGGAGAGGGAGATCAGTGAAAGGAGATGGGAAAACAGACAATCAGTGATCTGAAAGAGGAGAGAGGGAGAGATCAGAGAAAGGAGGGGGAAAGGGAAATTAGAGATCAGAGATGAAGACATATCAGAAAGACATCAAACAAAAGATCAGAGAAAGCAGAGAGAGGGATCGGAGAAATCTGAAAAAGATGGAGCGAGCGGGCGGGCGGGGGGGTGGGGGGGCGGATCAGAGAGAGAGAAAGTGTGCCAGGACATGCCTTGCCTTGCTGGGAAGTCCTGGGCCACTGTGCCACATGTTGCCAGTATGGACCCAGCTGGGCAGGGCTTAGGCAGGGATGCTTACCTGCAGCATTCTCCCATTCCTCACATGTCTGCAACTGAATCTTTTATTTTTTTATTATTGAATTTATTGGAACAACATTTGTTAATAAAATTATATAGGTTTCGCCATACAATTCTATAATGCATTACCTGTACATTATGTTTGCACCTAAATCTTTTACTGTATATATGAATCACAAAGGAAAAAGGGGTGGGGTGCAGGATCTCAGATTTTAGAAGTTAAGAATGGGGGAGTTTTCTTAACTAGGTTAAGGTCTATATTCCAAAGGCAGCTCTAGTTTTGAGACTGTGTTTTCTGTGATGTCACCTTCGTTACACTGCAGTCCGTCTCTCTATCCCACAATCCACCTCCATCTACCCACCCCCCGCCCATGCATACACATACCTGGTCAATGCCTGGTGCACAGTAGGTACTAAGTCATCACACCTTGAATGTAGGGGAACAGCACATAATTGTGGCATCTAGCGACTGCTTTAGGCAAAGATCAGAAATAGTCTTGTTGAAGACGATACCTGGGCATTGTCAAGTGAAACAGGAAGAGTGAAGCATAGCATAGCTGAGTTATAGAAGTCACCTGATTCAGCAAAATAATTACAACCCTGAGAAGCATGTATCACTTTCTGAACCCTTGTCATCAGCACCCTGTAAATGGCCTCCTCTCTGAATCTTGCCTGAACAAAGTGCCTCCCTTCATGTGTCTCCTGGAAGCACTTTGTGATATGATATGATGGCTAGAGCATGCCAGATTGGGGGGAAAAAACAACCCTGGAAGCTCTTCCTTTCCATTATCTATGAAATCTTGATCTTCCAAAAAAATTTTAATAAACATTTGAATTAATTACAGTAATCTCCAAAGACATGATGAGTGAGTCTTTCATTAAATTGCCAACATTTGGTGATCCAGTTAATCAAATGGAGCATCTATTTTGTCATCAGGTGGACACTGTATGGTGGGGCAGAGAGACAGACTGAGGGAGATGGGGAGGACGTACATTGAAGCCCCTTCACCACAAATTTTATTCTCTCAGAAGACATTTCACTCAAAACAGATATGACACTATCACGTCCTGTGGTGATGCAATGAAGCCTTTGAAATAAAGGGTTCCCAGCATCCAAGGCAGCTGTTAACTGCTCCCAGCAGACACAAGATGAGGAGAGGTAGGAGCCAAGTAGCCCCGAGGCCTTGCAGCTCCGGGCCTGGGCACAGCACAGGCAGATAGAGTTAAGTGGTGCTGTTTGTTCATCGCGTGACTTATTGAATCATCATGAGAAACGGGTGAGTGTGTGGCATATCACTCATGAGTATAGATGCGGAAAAAATGAGGCATTATTTTTTGAGCATGTTAGGTTTTGACGAGAACCCATGCCACTCTAAGTCCAAATTTCCTATTAAAATCACCATTTTATGGATAAAAGAAATGAGATTAGGATCGAATAACTTCACAGGCACAGAATGGCAACTGAAATCCAAGTCTGCCTGATTCCTAACCCCGCTCTGTTTCTCACCAGTGACCACCTGTGTCTGCCACTCGCATCCATACCCTTGATGCTTCCTCCTTTCCTTCCAGGTCTCTACCTAAGCTCTTTTTTAAACTTAGTACCTCTGCAAGTGATATCATCTAATCACAACTTTAAATTCCATCTCTGTGAAGCAGCTACTAGATTCACATCTCAACCTGGGTCGTCCCACTGAGGTCCTACTGCCTACTCCCTCCACGTGAGTGACGAATGTGAAGCTTATGTTCAGAACCAAATTCCTGCTCTTTCCTCTGATTTGACTGGCCTAGAATTTCTCTCATCTCATTTAAGAGTATCTTCATCATTCTGTTGTCACGCTCAAAATTTAGGGGTCTGTCTCTCACACCACACACCCAATCCACCAGCAAATCGTTTACATTATAATGAGAATCCAGCACCTACCAGTACCTCCACCGCCTCCTCTGGGTCAAACTAGCACGACCTCACACCGGTTGCTGGAAGTCAACTTATAACAAACAGCAAGAGGGAAATCTTTTCAAAATATAAGGTGAACAGAGTTCTAACTTGGCTGTATATCCACGAATGCTTTTCTGTTTCATAAAAAAGCAGAAATCTTCACAATGACCTCTAGGCTGCACAAGATCTAACCCCTCATTATTTCTCTCACCTCCTTCCTTCAACTCCCCCTCACTCCCTCAGATCCAGCCACCAGGTCCCCGCCCCACCCCACCTCACGGCTTCTGTACCTGCTGTTCTTGCTCTGGGGACCCCCTTCCCCAGTGTGAGACTTCTCACTTTCCTTTGAGAGATTAATTTATATTTTCCAAAGGAAGTACTTATAAAATAGAACAGATTTAGTGCCTAGCTACTGATTTATTTTCTGTTAAGAAGGGCAAGTTCCGTGAAAGCAGACAGCTCCCAAATTCCAAACCAATCCTGGCCATCCAGCACCAGCCACACAGCACAAAGCTGAGGTGGGAGTGATAAGCTAAGATCAGTTGGGCGTCTTCTACCCTCATTGAAAAAGGCTCAGGAAGGAGACTGTATGGCATCAAACAACCAAGGTCTAAGGACCCTAGGAAATTCCCTATGTTGTTTTTACCTGAAAAGATACCCTTCGCCCAGTAAATTTAAATGTAAGGTACAGTTTTCTTATATGTGAGACTTCAACAAAGCATGTACAGCAATGTAAAAACAAATCTGTACGGCATAAAGGCAGATAAATATATAAAGAAGAGTTCATGTATGGCCCAGACC